ATGCTTTTATCATTCACAAGATCGCCCTGGGTCGTCTCAACAAGCCTTGCTCCCACGCATGTCGTGCTCATGCGGCGACTACATATTGCCCTGTTGAGTCAGAAAAGCGAAGATTTTGCCGGGGACGATGACTTAGCGAACCTCGTGACCGAGCCACTTCCTCGAAGCGCGCACACGCTCGAGAAGACGGAAGAGAAAAACGGAAACAAGCGCCGCCAGTAGCTCTGTTAGGTCTGCTCAGCGTACGCGGGTCCTGGCGTCCGCAGCTTCGAAACGAGCTATTTTTGCGCGACGTGCTCAAGAGTCAAGAAGGGGCGCGTTACTCTATGCAATAAGGCTCGCCAACTAGACCACGGTAGCGCTCTCACCTGCAACGAAGTATGGCACCAGAGCTGGCGCAACGGCATGGCTATTCCTGCTGAGATGCAGCACAAAATCCGGTTTGTAGAGAAGCGTAGACGCGAGGTCTGTAGCGAGAGTGAAGAAGACTAATGAATGGCACCTGGGAATGATGTTCACATTTTGCTGTGTTGTCGTTTGGGTAATGCCCAACGGTTTTGCAGGGAGATCGCAATTGACAATAATTAGGTTGATTTTCGTACTGCCCATCTCTAACGATTAGCCAATCACATTCTCTAGGCAATCCACGTGTCAGACAAAAGGGCTGCATACATGATATAAAGTACTGATTTTCCGGTATAGTTTACTTCATATGTTATAATCACGGATAATCCGGAACAGCCTTCGTATTAGAAGGGTTAAGTATCTGGAGGTAGCTAGTCACATTGGAAAGATCAGCAACATCATCATAGACTCATAAAGCCCCTGAAGCTTTCCTCTTCTAAGTCGATTACACGCATCATTTTTCGCTTATAAATCCTCATCGTCGAGCCCAAGGAAGTCGGCAAGTCCACCATTGGAAAGTCCGTTCTCGATTTACTTTACTTGCTCACGTCTATTCTGTTTCCTAGAAGGCTAGCTGATTTGCCAAGCGCACGGATCGTATTAGCAGTCAGGAACACTGCCCATCGGTGTGATGATCCTCGAGCATTGTGAGACGCATCAATAGATCCGTATCAAAGTAAGAATGATGGATATATAGCTGCTTCAGTGTGCTGTGTTAACTCCCATGCAACTATGAAGCGTGTTCGGCGGTAGTAATGAAGATGTCGCCAGTGTCATCTCGGTACATCCACGAGCCGCATGTTTCCGAGTGCAAGACTTGCTCATTAGGGACTTCTGATTCATTGATAGAGTATTTTGTGTGATAGGAACGAGTGGATTTTTCAGTACAGAAAGCAGATTTAGACTGCCACGTATTTGACGAGGATGTAGTTACACTGGCTCTAGACTACCGAGCCACTGCCTCGTTACCACTACGACAGCTGAATAGTCAACAGGGGTTACTGATGAACCCATCGTCGGTTAAACCGACTTTTATCTTCACGCAGACGTTCTAATGCTCTAAATTGAAAAGAAAACTACCAAAAGACAGCCTCCATGCAGGAATAACCGCTTCAAAGTGCGTCGCCCAATCAGTTGCGACTTGATTCCGACGTTATTGCTTCGCCTACATGACGCACACTGCACCGGCACGGAGCTAGATTTTTCAGACCCCAACGTCCCTATGTACCTATTCGACATTCATTTCTGATTTCCGTGTCTAGATGCATTACTTTACCGGCGACAAGGTGGCGTGATCGTGTGTGTGCTGTCGATCGACTATCGCCCGCTTGCCTTTCCTCGATCATTCGCGCCGTTTCCACTGAGCTGAAACGATCTTCGCCAACGAAACTCCTGGTGTTGCTCCTCCTGCGACCATTCTACACAGTCGCACCGACGTTCACATTTCTCCTTTTGCCACTAAGGACCAACTTGGGCCACTCACCTCAAAGACTCCAAGCTCCTGCAAAAATGCTCCCCGGCAAGTACCTCGTTGCTTTCATCGCCGTTTGCGCCTCTCACTCGTGTGTGGTCAGTGCTGGGGGCTATAGTCTCCCGGACTACTCTCCACCGGCAGTATCTGAAGCCTCGGTCTACCAAGAGGCAGCGACGCCGTGTCCTGAAACAACCGAGCCGCCTACACCGACTATTCCGGTTCAAGAGGCGTCACAGGTATACGTGCCTACCCCGACCGAGACTCCATGCCCGGAGACGACAGAGCCCCCTACAGAGACTGTGACTGAAGCTCCATATGTGCCCACTCCAGCACAAGAAGAGGAGACAGAGCAATACGTGCCCACTCCAGCGGTAACTGAGACGCCGTGCCCGGTACTGCCGACCCCTCCACCCGAGGAATCGACACCATACGTCCCCACAGAGACCCCTTGCCCGGTATTGCCGACCTCTCCGCCCGAGGAATCCACTCCATACGTCCCGACAGACACCCCTTGCCCAGTTATCACTCTGGTACCGGAGACGTCTCTCTCTGTTTACCAACAAGAATCTACCCCGTCAAAAACCGAGACAGCAGTGGATATTCCTTTAACGTTTATGCCGGACACACTTGCCCCTGAGGTTTACACTCCAGTTCCGGCACAGACGACTCCATGCCCGATTTTCACTTTACGACCC